TTAAATTCCCATTTTTAGTGGTTTTTCGGTGGTTTTTCCAGTGGCATTACATATGACTATTGAGAAAATCGAAAAATTACCTCTCTTAAGTACCATCTTGATTCAATTTGTAAAAGATAAGGTACTATATGTTGACATTTTGTAAACAGGATAAAGAAACAAAAACACCATTGTAAAATCACTAGTTTCCTCTCTCCGCTCGGAATCTAAAAGTATTTAAATGCCATTCAAACACTTCGAAATAAAGATAATTTAAAAAAGTATTCAATAAGGAAAAAAGTACATATTTGCATACTTTTACTCAAATGCTTTACAACACTGCCAATCTCTATTCAAAATTAGTTTTTAATACAACTATAGTTTATTATTACTTTTCAATTACAATGTACAGAGTTATACCTACATAAAACACATAATATTATATATTATCGTTATTTTTTTTATCAATTGCACAGTTTAATATTATTGAAATTGTATCAAATTGCTTATAACAATTATTAACAATGCACAATATATATTTATAATATGATATGTAATGTAACTAATGAAAAAAAATATGGTTTATATTTCCAGGGTTTTTACGAAGTTACCGGCATAGATACTGATCTTTTCAGTACCGCCAATTTTCCAAAAACATTATTTTATGGAACTTACAGATTTCGTTTTTCTTATACCAAAAAGGATGAAGTCTATGGATGTTTTATAATAGTTGTAGAGATTAAGCGCCCGTGGGAAACTAATAATTGAATATTAAATTACCATAAAATAGTAGCCCAATTATTTAATCATTATCAATGTTCATGCAAATTCTTAACATTGCAATATTTGTTGACTTTAAATTTATATTTATGTTAGTGCACTTAGTTACAAATATATACAATTATTGACTGTGAAACAATACTTTACATGGTTTATATAGTTGCATTATTTATATTATATAAAAGTGACAAACAAATTGAATTTAATAAAAAATATATACATATTCTTTAGTAGCATTATGTATTCTTCCATAAAACCGATACCATCAACCGATATATAATAAAACCGATACCTGATAACACAAATATTAACTAGGAAAGTGAAAACATTGATTATTATTTATTAATGGTAATAAATTAATAATTATTATTTAATAGTTATCACATGTTTGTTCATTTTCCAGTCTTTAATACTTTAATATTAATACATAATAGTCTATTAAATTAAAGAAACTCATGAACTCATTGTTATGGTTATTTTTGAGATATTTAATCAGGTTTGAGGTAATGAAATCTCGAGAATTAGTACCTCCTCTACAAATTCTTTTGTTGCAAACCGAACATTGCGCCTTCGAAACATCATCTGGACATTTAATGAAAAAATTCCAAGCAACTGACATCTTAACTAATAAGCAATAATTATTAAATTTAATAATATAAATATTACATTTACAATACACTAGTATTAACTATTTAATATTTAGTAACCTCGTAAGTAGTAACATTAGTAACTACTAACTAGTAGTGGGACACTGTGATTAGATATAGTATTGTTATCTATTGTATTACAATTTTGAATTTTTAAAAATAATACTGCTATTAAAATATCATTGTAATATGATAACAGTCCTGCCAATAATCTATAGCATTTGATTATTGATAACCTAACCTATGTCCTGTGCATTTGTGAATTATAAATACTATGCTGATCGGTAGGTTTTTTTTTTTTTGGTATCGGTTGAAGTAATGAAGTGTCGGTTTTGAAGAAAAACTGATATCGGCTGATATCTAGTATCGGTTCTAGTATCGGTCCATCCCTATTTATAATAACTCTACTTAAGAGGACGCCAGCAAGGGCATTTTGCTGCGTACGAGTTGATTCCCGGGTACCTGTTTACCTGCACCGACACCGTTGAGTTGATTCCCGGGCCATTGACGGTACGTACGAGTTGATTCCCTATTGTTGTATATTAATTATCAATAGATTGCACGAGTAAAGAGTTTAGCTTTTAGCTTTCGTTCTAAACTCAACAGTTGTTTCTGTAGTGGGCACCCAAATATTTTTGTATTTATAAATGAGCTGTTAGTAGTACAATCAGAAACGTATATTAAATGCAGGAGTAATGGAACTAAGAAATCTAAAAAACAACAAGAAAAACAATTTTTTTTAAGAGAAGATATGTCACGGTATGCTGGTAATCTCATTACCAGATACCAATTTATAAAAACAATGTGTTACAAATTTTTACCAAATTATAACATTTTTTTTTATATTTTTTTACCTAGTTACTATACTAAATGTTTTTAATAATAATTTTTTACCTAATTACTACTAAATGTTTTTAATAATAATAAATATAATATAATTCAATAAATAATTAATAAATAAAAATTGAATGATTTTCAAAACATGAAAAAACTAAAAAAAAACAACATTTTTGAGAAACTTGTCAGCCAACCTCCTCGTGGTGTTTCTTGGGTTATGCTAATAGGATGAATATTTTACTAAACATTGAATAAAATATATAATTACCTGGGAATCAATTCGTACGTACCTCTTAATGACCCGGGAATCAACTCGTACGTACCTCTTAATGACCAGGGAATCAACTAATACATGAGAAAGGTCTCGGGAATCAACTCACCTATTGAGGGGCATTTGTTGTATCCGTCTTACAAACGTGCAAGGTGGCAAATTTTACGATCACCCTAATTTTACCCTGTAATTTCTAAAATTAAAGTGACTTTACCTTTTATAAGGTTTAGAGGTAAAGATATTATCTACGGCATCTCTGATGATTTTATTGATATTATTATTTTTAAGTAAGTTATGATCATTTTAAAATGTGAAAAAAATGTACGGTTTGAAAATGGTAATAACTATTGCTTCTTAACAAAAATATCAATAAGAGCCTATAGATATTCCCTTGATAATAATATTACATTTAAATTGTATAAGATTGTATGAATTACAGAGTATAATGTGTTGTTGTGAACATAAATTTGTCATATCGGACAATTGTAAGATGGAGGCTACAATTATGCAGATGGGAATACTTTCTAAAAATAAGGAACACGTATTACTAAACTATATTTTATAATTTATTATCTTTGGAAGAAAGGAATTAATGTCCGCATTTTTCCTACAAGTACCCATATTATAAAGGATTGAGATTAAGAATTTTTTGAACATCTTTTAAAGTACTATACTTGTATTGTAATTTAATGTTTAATCAGCTTCACCTCTACAACAGAAGTTGAATAGCCATATACTACATTATCGTATGGTTTTTGGTCCAACAATATGGTAGATAATCTTTTTTTATTTTTAATGTAATAATGTGTATACCTACGTATATCATTATTATTTATTGACCTCGATTTCACTATTGTTGCAGTAGATAACTTTAACATGTAATGACATATATTAAAAATAGTTAATAGATAATATTATATATTATACCCATAGGTAAAGGTTAATTATTAGGTATGATTTTATTGTTGACGATTTATTCAAGTGCGTGTTTAGTAATATATATTATGAACCTAATGGTAATATATTATTTTCCATTGAATTTTTTTTTGATTTCTGTTGAATATGATATTAATATATATAATATTCATTACTGTTGGTGATTGTAATATGTATAGGTACTGATATTATTCATGAATCTGAAATTAATTAATTTAAACACAGTTTTTAATTTAAATAAAATCTGTATATTTCAATATTTGAAATCTAAAATTCATCCGATATTTTATATATTTAATTGTATAATGTATAGAAGTAGTTATATCTATGTGCCACTACATATAATATTATGTTAAAATGAAATAATATAATCCAACAAAAGTATCTAAATCACATTTAGTATTGTATCACAAATAAAAAAACAAGCATAGGTACATGAAAAATATCAATAAAAAAATAAAAAGTATAATGACTAAAAATATTTAGTTTATTTTTAATGTGTGTAAACATAGATAGTCTATGTCTAATGTCTACATTTTTTTTAATATCTTCATAGTCTATCTCTTTCAGCTATAGCTTCTGTTGAGATAGTGAGTATAATACAAATTAATAAAAGATGTGTGACAAAAATATGTGATTGGTACAATAAAGAAGAATTCAAACATTAAAATGATTAGAAATTTGAGCGGACAGTTTCACGTATACAATTTTAGATTAAAAATACTATATCACTTACACTAAAAATAAAAAAGTATATAATATAGATATGCAAACAATATTAAAATACATTAAATATATTGCTCTAGTTGGGAAAACAACCAGTGGTATATAATTTTTTAGGAACTTTGGTACAGTAAAGTTTTTTTTTATATGGATGTGGCATAAAAAGAAATAAACAGGCCCTAAATAATTAACAAAAGATTAATAATAATTATTAATAATTATTAACAAAAGGCTTTTCCTGTGTTTTTTTACTGAAATATTATAAAGCCTGCATTCTCTTTTACAACCATAACATTTTTCATTTACCCCTTTGATGAAACTATTGAAAATTAAGATAATTTCTACTATTTATAGAGAGACTTAATTGGTAGAATACCCTTAAAACGGATAATTTGAAATGTTGTACCTACTTTTGTAAGACGCAGCCTATACAAATGCTCGCGTGGCATCCTTTTGAGTTATTAATCACGTATGAATACAAAACAATTTTTAAATATAAAATAACTGGTTTACTGATGAATATCATATATGCTTAATTTGTAATGGAAAAATTCCAGTTCGAACGGAAAGGGGTTATTTTGACCAATCATAGATCTGTTGGTTTTAATATGAAATGAAGGGAAAATTCCGGAGTTACATTCAGGTATGTTGATAGGAATACTTTCTAAGAATAAGGAACTGTATAAGTGACTGAGAAATTTATTATCTTTGAAAGAAAGGAAATGTCCACATTTTTGCCACAAGTATATAAAGGATTGAGATTAAGCCTTTTTTGAATATCTTTTAAAGTATTATACTATAAATATGTACTATATGTAATTTAATGTTTAATCAGTTTCCCAATGCTGATTCACCTCTACAACAGAAGTAGCACAGCCATGAACTACCTTGTTTTTGGTAAATTGAATACGAGATTTGTATGTTCCATAAAAAGACTGCTTTGGTAAATTGGCATAAAAGTTCTTATTAAGCCTGATACCAGATGATTTATAACAACCCTGGAAATACGTATAAACCATATTTTTTCTTCTTTACATTACAAATGATAAATAATATATTCTGGATAAAAATAAGTAATTGGAGTTAAAATTACAAATATAATCGTAAAATTAAATAAAAAATGTGGGCAAGTGGGTACCGCAATGCTATACACTAGGTGTGGTGTGGGTCACATAATATGGATCATAGTACAACAATATAACACCATTGTACATAAAAAACGGTCTGTCAGCATATTTTAGGTGATAAGTGGTAAAGTAGTAACTATAATTAAATATACGAGTATCATTGCTACTAAAGTAATTTTTTTTTACTTAGGAATAAAGTATAACTTGAATTAGTTTTTGACGAAAAAGTTGCATTTTTAAATATCATTGTTTATATAAAAATAACAGTAATTTAAGTAGAAATCTTAAAAGTTTTATTTACGCCTTGTGTTAAAGAAAAAAAAGTAAAAATTAAAGGCACAATTGCAAAATTAATAGATTCATCTCTCCGCCCAGAATCTATAATCGAGTTAAAAGTGTAAGCATATAGATACTGCAGCAATCGTGTATATTTTAATTAAGAAAAAAATATTATTCATTGAATCAAAAAATACAATTTGAGATGAGTTTTTCTTTACCTTAAAATTGTCATGCATTTGTTTCAAGGGCTTCGGAGCAAGTGTGTTTTTAGTACAAAACATGTCTTACAGGAAAAACTCTAACGGTCCTTATAGAGTAGTCGGATTTCTTTATTTTAATTTCTTTATTTAAAAGAAGAGAACATTTTGCAGATCGGATCAAAGCCCGATTTCAAAATTATAATTATAGACGATGTATGTACTATATAATATAAAATATCGGTATAATATAATTTATAGAATTTCCGAAAATTAGAAAAACCGGCACCGACACACTTAAGTTTGTTAAATAAGTGGGTAGTAATATACTCACACTTAGGACCAAGGCTGGGCAAGTTAACGTTTTTTTTTAACTCGTTAAGTTAAGTTATTTTAAAATAACTAAGTTAAATTAAGTCAAAAGTTACTCTTATTTTTTTTTCGCTAACTCGTTAAGTTAAAAGTTAACTTTGAAAAAAAAGTAACTTAACTTAGTGTAAAGTTAAAATTTGTTTAATTTGCAAAAATTTAAAATACAGACACATAATATGGTTGATTAGATAGTTTTTCTTTACGTCCAAGAAAATGACTGGGGAAATTTAAAATGATACATCGGTTCCACGTCATTTGGTCCGGTAAATTATATCTGGCGACAATTGATCCACGACATTTGATCCGGTTCAAAAAGAACTTGTACCAAAAATATCCTGCTAAAAAATGTCCGGTAACAAAAAAATATAAAATATAAATATATAGTTTTTTTTTTAATTAGTTGTTATTTTATTTTCATAATTTTCAAAAACGTCATTTTAAAAGTAATATAAAATATAAATAGGCATATAAAAAATGGGTAACAACAAAAATATGTCCGGTAACAAAAAAATATAAAATATAAATATATAAAAATTAGTTATTTTATTTTCATAATTTTCAAAAACGTCATAATAAAAGTAATAATATAGAATACAAATGTTTATAAATTAAAATTATGAGCGATAGCCTTCAAATACGTAATAAATTTATAATATTTATGATAATAAAGGTGATAATATGGAATACAAATGTTTATAAATTAAAATTATGAGCGATACCCTTCAAATACGTAATGATATTTGAAGTTTCATAGTTTTCTACTGTATTTTTAAGACGTTGGTCTATGTTTTTATATTTTTTTTTTTTTTGTAGGGTTATTTTCCCCCAGATTAATTTTTTTTATTCATACACGTTTGCAAACGGCTAGGTGTTCACATGTACTAAAATCGAAAAAAACGGATGTATCGCTATCTCCATTTTTCCGTGTTGCAACATAATAATAATTTATATCTGATAAATCGTTGAGAACTGATTAGATTCGTTAATTTGCGGTTTTTCTGACCGTTTCCTGTATATAAGGTAGATTATATATAAATATATTTATATATATATATAGGGACTATTATTGATTATTTTTCTAAAATACTATACGTACTATACTATACTATACATTTTTAACTAACTAACTAATTTCTATATATTTATTCCATATTTATTTTCATAACTAATTTTTATATATTTAAATTCTATATTTTTTTTATAATGACGTTTTTAAAAATTATGAAAATAAAATAACAACTAATTAAAAAAAAACTATATATTTATATTTTATATTTTTTTGTTACCGGACATTTTTTAGCAGGATATTTTTGGTACAAGTTCTTTTTGAACCGGATCAAATGTCGTGGATCAATTGTCGCCGGATATAATTTACCGGACCAAATGACGGGTCACGTGATACATCAATGTAAAAACACATTCAAAAATGTGCATTATTCTTGGGACGAAAAGTAACTTAATTTAAATATTTTTGAAATAAAATTAACTTGAAGTTAACACGTTAATCTTGAAAAAAAGTAACTTATTAAATTAAAAGTTAACTTGAAAAAAAAAGTAACGAGTTAATTAACTTAATTAAAATTAACTTAACGTTTTAACTTAATTTTAATTTTTAACTCGTTAATGCCCAGCCTTGCTTAGGACAGTATTTTAATGTAATTTCTCGATTCTTTTAAATACCTAAACTAATATCTATATTATTTTTATTTATATAATGATTCCATACCACGGGAATAGGACAACTTATATTGTGCATTCCTAAACTTTCCGTTATTGCAGTCCAAGAATTTCCCATTAACATTTTGAGTGACGAGCAAGCTTTAGCTGTCTTATAAACATGAGCATTGTTCTTCCAATAACCATTAACAGAATCCTTTATCGCTGGGTTAAAAAAAAGGTACCACCGATAAGCAGTACCGATAATCGTATTCTACCCAATTAAGTTGCCTTTGATTTTTGTTGTGTTGACAGATGTTTTGCTTAGGTATAAATTAAACTGGAGTTGGTCATTCGAAGATACGCAACGAAACACTGCTAAGGTTTTATTCGGTATTCACCCTAAAGAAGAATATAAAATCGGTTTAAAATTATTTTTATACAATGTGTTGGTTGCTATAATATATTGACACAATAACTAATTAGGTACATACGATCGGTAATAATTGTGGTCAAAACAACGGTTTACTTGCATCCGAATTTACAAAAATTACAAAAACAATAAGATTGATTAGCGAACACTTCATCTTTGGTCTACAATAACTCCATATTCCCAGCCCCCCCACTTTGGAATTTCAAAACAAAATTAACTCCATTCGTTTGTGCTGGTTTGTGCTTTTAACCCCGTCGTTTGTACTCAACCCCTTTCAAAGTTATCCAACTTTGAAAGTTGGGGGTTAAAGTGTAATCCCAGGCACTCCTCATTGTCTTGCGAATCTGAACAAAACTGTCCACATAATTATTTTTAACTCTATGGTGTTTAGTCGTAAAACATTTAGTTTGCCACAAAAACCCATACACTTGTGGATTAGAAAATTATTTTTTTTTTTTAAGTTTGTGCCATTTTCGGAAAAAATATTTGCCAAACAACAAATGGACTTACAGCCCCTAATACCAAAGATATAATTGTGATACAGTAGTCACTTTAAATAAATTCTATGTTTATTGGAAAATCAACTAGATGTTGATTAGAAAACAGTTTGAGCAATTATTTTTAAAGATATGAAGTTCTAATTTTAGATTCTGAGTTTAACGATGAATGTATTGATTTTACAATGATGTGTGTTTTATTTTTTACTTATTTTTTTATTTATTTATTTTTGTGTCTGTCATCACGTTTTAGGACAGTATAAGTGCTTGGATTTTCTTCAACAGTATCTTTTCTGATAGGAAAGTGAATCTAGTTGGTACTTTGGGAGGGGTTAAAAGTAAAAATTTTCCAGTAGTTTTCAAAAGCACCGTGAAAAACAAAAGAAAAATTAAGGAAAAATGGGAATTTGTACCCAAAATCTGTTTTCGAAAAAATAGATTTTGGTTCAACTCTTAAACAAATTACCTTAGAGGTACATGCAATTTTGACTGAATGTTTATGCTAGCTTGTTCTATACACCATAACATTTTCCTAATATTTTAACTAATTTTGAGCTGTTTACGGACATTTTTAATTTCCATTTTTATTAGTTTTTTTTTTTCGAAAAAAAAAATGTCAACAAGAAACTAAAATTAAATTTTTATGAGCGTTTGAAATTCATACTTTTACAACATTTGATATTCACTCGATTTCTAATGAAGCGATTTCCTTATTTTGTTGTAATTAAAAAACGAATGACTGTAGATACTTGAAAATTTCACTAAATGTTTAAATTAGCATTTCCTATCCACTTTACAATTTTGAAAATATTTTGACTTTTTTTGAGCTGTGGACGGACATTTTCAGTTTTCAATTTTTTTAGTTTTTTTGCTATAAATATCAATAAAATTTTATTTGTTGGGTAAAAAAGCGTGAAAATTTAATGCAAAGCTCCTGATATATTGTTACAATAGCAGTTGAAAAATATTAAAAATACATAGGCACAATTTTTTTTTATAAGCATCTAAAGTTCAAATTTTGACAAAATGTATCACATTTAAAATTTAATAATAATTTTGTAGTTAAAAATTTATAAAATTCTCAACTTGTATAGGTAAGGATTGAAAATTTAAAACAAGGGTCCACGTAAATAGGTAAATATAGAAATTACTTTATTCACAATAATATCATCAAATATACTTCGTAATATCATAGGCTGACTGTTTTCGCTCAGAATCGTTTTTTTATACAATGATATTATATCATTGAATTCAAATTTAATACCATCCATTATACAGTTATTATGCTTATATTATTATTTAAGAAGCGTATTTCAAAAATCTAATAGCTAACATATGAAAAAATTAATAAAACATAAATTAAATAAATATTATAATCTATCAATTATATATGTATAAATAAATATGGAAAAAATAAATAATATCAATAATAAATAAAATATTTAGGACCTTTAAAATTGATTTTCTAGTTTATAACTGACGGACTAAATTTCTCCAGCCCTTCACCCATAATTTCAACAATATGCATCAAAACATAACTGAAAGTTTGTAAGCGGTTTGTAAAGGGCTTTAAACATTTTCGTTCAGAAAATTAAAAAAATATTTTAAAAAATGTAATAAAATAATCTAATATGAATAAAAAAAATCGACTATCAATAAAAATCTAAATTCGTAAAAATTTAAAATTAAAAAAAATACAAAAAAAATCAAAACTGATCAAAAAATTTAAAATTAAAAAAATCGAAATTGATAAAGAAATGAAGCTAAAATATCTAAATTGATAAAATATTTACCATGAATAAAAATCTAAATCGATATACCTACATTGACTTGTACATGACTGAATTTCGTTTTGAAATTCCATAGTGGAGGGGCCGGGGACCTGGAGCTGTCTACAATATTATAACCACACAGATATCAACTCAGTTTATTGATGTATAGTTACTATAGCTTCAGAGTAAAATAATGTTTTGTGCAATAGACAATAGTATAGATACCTAATGTGTTTGTAATATGTACATTTATTGTTATTATTATTTTTTGACCTCGTTTACTACTCCTTAAATAATGAAGTAATTATTCGGTAATCGGTATAATTTTAATTTGTTGACAAATTCCCTACTTTCATGTATGATCAGACATCCCTTTATAATATTAAATTATTAATAACACATTTCCGGCTCAATGGATATTCGTCATGTTTGAAATACCCTAACGTCATATTATATTTCAATTTCTTTTTTCGATTGCCCATAGTTACTTATAATGGAATATTCTGGATAACTTTCGACTTCAACCTCCTCTCAGAACCATACTTTGAATGCGACTACCATGGGAATAACATCATTATAAATTATTTTTGAAATTTGCAAAGGTGGGCAAGTTAATGAAAATAATTAACTCAAGCTCAGTTAAGTTCAGAGGAAATAATAAGATCGATAAGTTGACAGTTAACAATAATACAATTAACTCGATAAGTTTAAAGTTAATATGGAATAAATATGAACTTAACTATCATTGAAAAATAGTTAATATAGGTACTATTTGTAATTAGTATGTGGATCACATAAAGCGAGTGACTGCGTTTTTTCTAGTTTCCTATATTATTATAATAAACAATTTTATTGAACTTTCATCGTAATGTACAGTGTCTATAGCCATTTTACTTTACATAATAATTATGAAATACCTATTTAAATACCTACACATCAAAATAAATAACTTACAAATATTAATTGTTTTATATGAAATAGAAATTTAAAGTCATATTATAATAGTATGCGTTATGCGTATCTAATCTACTGTAACATATTAGGTATATCTATTTACAAAATTATTAAATCAAGAAAAATAACAGAAATGATTGTATTGTTATAGCATTGGATTTTTTTTTGTTTATATTTTAGTATTAATATTTAGGTACGCAAAAACCATAAAAACGAAAAATTTCAATAATGTTTGATGCAAATTATTTTTTAATAAACTGAATAAAACTAAGTTATTGCCACTGTCAATTAAACTACTTAAGCTTATAAGTTGATTAGAAAATTAACTAACTAGTTAATGCACACCTTTGGAAATTTGTATTATAACTTTATAACTACGAGTGTACGCTGTGTAATATGCATAGATTTTAATTTAACTATCCATACATATTATTATCATATTATGTTGATTATATTATTTGTCGATGGAGTAATATCCGTAGACAAAAATATATAAAAAAAATTAAACGGCCGTGTAAAATTGCAAATTATAAACTCTTCATAATTTGTCAATGGTTTTTATAGGTACCGTATAAGAACAAGGTAATATGTTATATTAGTATTATGTGGATGGTGTTAGTAGCATAGCTGGTAACCCCCCCTCCAATGAAACTTTTCCCCCTTAAATGTACTATTATTGTTACGTGAAAACTGTAAAAACTTGGTTTAATTTTTACTATATCCCAAACCCCCTGGACACTTGATGCGGTTATGTTTAGTGAACGGTGCACTATGTTTACTTGTTTTTAAATTACCTGAAATTTAATTGATTCTCCGGGGGCATGTACCAGTTGCCCTCAACCAAATGTACCAGTTGCCCTCATATGTAAATATATAGCCCGTAAAATAGGGAGGTAAATGTACAAATAATAATTATAAATAGTAATTATTATAACAAAAAATAATACATGTATTATATCTAATTTATTTACTATTTTCTTTTTGACAAATTATCTCATTGAACATGGTGCTCATTTTATTCTATTTTAAATAATTTTATTTATTATTTGCATATTTACCTCTCCTATTTTACGGGATATATATTGTAATCGTGTACCTACATTCGGTTGGGGGCAACTGGTACATTTAGTTAGGGGCAACTGGTATATTTTTAAAATCCCGAGAACAGCCCTGGGGGGGGGAAACAGGTCAACACCCTTCTCCGGGTTGGACCTTTTATTCAACATTTTTCTTGACAAAATGTAGCCTATCTTCTTTCCCGAGGTCTAATCTATTGCTGTACCAAATGTCATCGTACTCGGATGAATGGTTTAGGAATGTATAAAGGACACTGCAGTTAGTCGCAAACATTTTTTTTGTCTGTTATATGATGTATAATATTATAATATATATAATATATATACACAAAATTGTACCAAAAAAAGTACATATTACTGTCAAAATTAGATATTCAAGTGGCAGTGCGGGCGAAACGGAGCTATTTATATGTCATGAACAATAATGTGTGGGTGTACACAAAATATCAATAGCATATAAAAACTAATTGAGTCGACGTTATGGGTAATAGACCTAAATATAGTTAATCTACAGTATCAATACTAAAAGCAAGGTCAATAATATCATATTTTATATAATAATAATATACCTGGGATTATTAAAAGCAAGTAAATCGAACTTTTAATCATTTAACTCTGAATAACAGCCGAACAACAAACTTCGTTGATGCTTGTATCGTGTATGTGTGTTATATTTTGGACCAAAAATGAAGTGTTTATTAATCAATCTTCTTGTTTTTGTAATTGCTGTTAATTCGGAAACAACAAGAAAACCTTTGTTTCTACCACAATTACCGGTTGTAACTTGTAAGTTCTTAATTAATCATATCTGTCAAATGTCAATAAGGCAACCATAACATTGTACCAAAACAATGTTCTCTAATTCGATATACGTAATGTGATACAGCTTAAAATGATTTTATTGTTTTCTTCAGGGTGAATACAAAATAAATGTCTTAGCATTGTTACGTTGTGGAGTATCGAATGAACGATTTAAATTTAATTATTACCTAAGCAAACTGTCTATCAATACAACAGAAATTAAAGGAAACGTAACCTATTATGAACCACTTGATGATACTTATACTGTAAGTATAGTTTTTATTATTAAATTGTAAATTTTCTCTTGAAGTAAGTTTAGTTGTTACAATTATTATTAAATCATCTATAGAAATATAAGATGGATTTATTGTTGAAAATATTATAAATTTTCCATTTTATTTACATAGTTTTCAAAAATAAGTACCTACCAAAAACATCGACTTCTTAAATAATTGTTGATTTTTATCGTATAGGCTGGTCGATCCGATTTTGGCAAAAATATTAAAATTGATTTCTTTATAGGTTGAGGCCAATTTGGCGGTAAAAGATTCTGTTGGAGGTTGGAAGGATAATGCTCATATATTTAAGACACCTAATGCTTGCTCGTCACTCAAAATGTTGGCGGGAAAACATTTTACTTCAATAACGGAAAAGTTAGGAATGCACAATGTAAAAAATTGTCCTATTCCCGCGGTATGGAAGTATTATATAAATAAAATTAATATTAATATCAATTTAATATAGTCTGAATTTTGATTTTAGAAAATACCTATGGATTGTATAACACTCATAGTGGTGTAGATTTTCATGAAAATAATTTGTTATGATAAATGTCGTGACATTTTTATAGTTTCTCATATACATAACTTATCAAACAAATCCCTTGGTGTTATATAAGTATAAATGTATAATATTTATAACCTACATAATTATATTTAAAACAGTGTATATGTATTAATATTTTCCATTTTTAATTTTGAAAATTTGCAAATTATTTGCAGTTAAAAATGTATAAAATATTTAATTATTACAGGTCTAAGGATTGAACATTTTAAACATGGTATCTCAAGTTATTTCACACAGTAAACATAAATTTAAAAAAACATATAAACATGGATTTTTATGGATGTTTTAAGTTTGGACAAAATTAGGGGCATGTACCAGTTGCCCCCAAAAGTACCTTTTTTATACCGATTCCCCCCAAACTACCTAGAGAAAAATGTACCAGTTGCCCTCATATGTAAATATATATACGATTAAAATATATAGCCCGTAAAATAGGGGAGGTTAATATACAAATAATAATTATAAATAGTAATTATTATGACAAAACATAGTACATAATATTATATCTAAATTATTTACTACTTTTTTTTGACAAATTATCACGTTGAATATGGTGCTTTTCATTATAACTATATTATTGATGTGTAAACATCTATGCTATCGGTTTATAGTACGACCTTCTTGGGGAATCGAGCGTCAGGCGTAAGTCATGTAGATGTGACTGCTTGAGTGTGTGTGTGTGTGTGTGTCGTCGCCATAGCGCTAAAATCGCAGAACCAATAAACCAGGCGAGTTGCTTACTTGCTTATCTATTATTTTCTTTGTTATTTTTACGAGTCTGGTAGGTAAGTGGTAGGTGCGAACGCGCTCTGGTACAGTCGTCGGCTGATTCATTATTATTATTAATATTATTTATTATTCTCGTTTACGTATACGCGCGAAACCGTGTTTGTATCGTATAATATGTTTTATACAAATTCCCACTCAAACCATGACATTATATACCCCAATCAAAGTCGTACTACAGTCTACAGCTATGATGTTTACACATCATTCGTGAGTACAAAGGTACTCACATTTTCGTATACAATGATATGATATCATTGAGTTCAAATTTAAAACAACCCATTATACAGTTACCAACTTGTAACCTACTGTGCAGCAGAGCGACATCCACTTACCCTCTTTTTTTTTTTATTATGAATTTTTTCTATCATTTTATACTATTTTTTAAAATTATAACATTGAATGTCACATGATTATAGTATTTATTATTTTTTATTGACAAATGTATTCATATTATTTTGTTAGTAATTATTATTTATCACAAAATACAATATAAGGCGTATTTATTCCAAGCATATAAATTTTTTTCTTTAAATAATTTTCTTTATTATTTTTATATTTACCTCCCCTATTTTACAGGCTGTATATTGTAATCATGTATATGGTATATATTAACATGTAAGGGCAACATATAAGGAGAATAACGATTTTGTTCTAAATTAACAATATTTTTCATGGGTAAATGACACTTTTAAGGTTCCTACTTAAATTATTATTATTTTTTATACAAACAATAATATTTAAAAATGCAACTTTTTCGTCAAAAATTAATTCAACGTACTTTATTCCTAATATTTAATTGTAAAATAAACTACTTTTATAGCAATAACATATTAAATAAATTATGCCCACTACTTAGTACCTAATATATGCTGTTATATCGTCTGTCATATTCAATGGTGTTATACAATTATGTGACAAATATCACGTGACCCTCATAACACCCAATATTCACAGGAACCTAACTTTTTTTGTTTAATTTTAAGTTTATATTAGTAATTTTAATTCCAATTGCTTATTATTTTCCACAATAATATTTTATACGTGATTTGTAATTTAAAGATGAAAAATATGATTTATATTTTTAGGGTTGTTATGTGACAGCTGGCGTGAAGCATGACAGTACCTTTAATGGGAATTTACCCAAGCAATTTTTTTATTTAACATACAAATTTCGTTTTCAACTGACCAAAAACAAGGTGGTTTATGGCTGTGCGATTTCTGTTGTAGAGGTGAAGCGGCCTTGGGAAAATGATTAAACATTAGGTAAATTTCAATAAAAGTAATAATTGTTTATATTTCAATATATATATATCATGGAGGCACTAGAATCTTTCTACATCTACTGTTTTGTTTCTTTTTATTATATAGTATATAGAATATTACTACAGTCGAATCCGCGTAATTGGGACACATCGAGTGGTGACCTATTTTTTCAATATTTTATTTTCATTGTGCAATATTTAGCTCAATAACTTGTGACATTTTACTTTTTATTTTTTTCAAATTGAATTATTGAGTTTAATAATTAAAATATCAAAATTTTACTTTTACTCAGTCAAAGAGTAACTTCTTTTCTATAATATTGTGTACGTCTTCAGCTATTCTAGATATAGGCTACAATCTCTCTCTTCAGATTTAATGATTAAATCATTTGTTAAAAAATGTCATATTAACGAACAAAAAATACATACAATTTTGACTATATAATTGATCATTTTTCTTTACCTGAGGTAGATACTGTGCGTGGTCTTGGTGTTACTTTTCAAGTGAATCTCAGGTGTTCTACTCTTATTGATCAAAGTAGTTTAAAGGCTATAGTACAGACGTTAGGGTTTCTAATTAGATCTACTTCATAATTAAAAGATATACGTTATCAAAATATTCTTTCCTATCATCTAGTTCATCCTTTATTAGAATATGTATCAATTGTATGGTGCCCATTTTCTACTTTTTCGCGTCAGCCATCATACTGGTAACTATAAGTTAATAAGCTAGGTACATTTATATAATTACGATATCATACAATAAAATTCAATAAAATAATGTAATAATAAATAAAAATAAAATATGGTAGGGTAGGTGTTTCGGTTAGATGTTTTAATTTCTTTTTTACTCCCTGGCTATCTGGTTGGCAGTAGTTAAGTCTTCTAGCGTGCACTGTCCTAGTGCCAGCGGGCATACCAATAGGTGTACCATCGTCTGAATTGTTCTTCAGTGACAAGAGGCTGTGACCAGATCATTAAGGTATACATATTTCATCATGTTATTCCTAGATCCTCCAACTCCCTCTCTCAATCCAGTTAATGTCGTCCACTCATGCCATTGTAGTTCATACACTGTAGGTAAGTGTTCCAGGTTCAATCCAGTCTCTAATATCCTCGGTCATATCTTTCCATGCATTTATTCTACTTTGAGAGGGGTCATTTAGTAAGGCACAGGAGATTCTGAACAAACCTTTTCTCGATTTTAGTCGAGAAATTGTAGCCATCTGTCTGTACATTTTATTTCTCAGGCCATTTTTCTGATTTTGTCTCTCCAAGTTAATAAAAATTAGTCGTCTTATTGGTGGTGGTGATATGCTTGCCAATAAGTATACTTTTAAACAATTGTGTTTTTTATGCATCCTGTTACGAGCAGTATCTACTTTTTTACATAAATTGATTTTTCTCATACTTCACATGCATATTCCCAGACCGAAAAGCTGAGGAATATTGTGGATAGACGTAGGGTGTGTCGGGTTGTGGTCTCCATTTTGATCCTATTAATTTTAAGAGTAAACCGTTGCGTGTGTTTATCTATTTACTTGTCTTTATGCAATGATATTTATACGTTAGAGTTCTGTCAAAAGTAACTCCTAAATATACTTTTGTAGTAGTGTATCACAATTTATTAGTGTTTCATCTCCCCATGTGACTTCTAATTTACGATTGGTTTCCCTGTTTTTCAGATGGAATACACATAAAAGGGTTTTATTCAGATTTAATTTGAGGTGATTACATGTATAATATTTGCTCGTGTTTTCCAAGGGGTTGTGGTTGGTGAGTTTTTTCTATAATTGCTGTCCTGTACAGCTATTGCTGCATCGTCTGCATATATAAAATATTTAATTTTATTGTTATTTGATATATATTGGTCGTTTGTATAAACGATAAAAAGTGTTGAAGCGAGGACATTATCTTGCAGTAGTTCGCTTTTCCTCCATGATCTCCATGATCCTCCTTGATCCTCCATTTGCTGTATTCCCTGCCAATGTGACAAAGAATCGTATAGTGCTCATCAAAGACTCAATCATTTGTGTTAGTTTAAAGTCCTTGGTGTCGAGATCTTCTCAATGAGTAACACACAATATTGAGCAAACATTATAGAAAAAAAAAAAAAATAAATAAATAAAAAAAAATATCAAGTAAGGGTAGTGTAACCACTGGGTGACTCCTCCCATCACGTAATCATGTTATAAACTTTTAAAATATCACATATTCTTATTGTTCCTAAAAGAACAGATTGTATATACCTTATAAATAATAAAAAAAAAAAAAAAAAAAAAAAAGTTTAAAGTCCTGTGTAAGCTTGTATATTTTTTCTAGCAATAAACCGTGGTTGACCGTGTAGTAGACCGCCGAGAGGTCAATGAAAGCCACGCAGGTTATTTGTTGTTTCTCAAAAATCCCCTCAATGTGTTGGGTAAGATAAAGTATTTGTCCCGCGCAGGACTTACCTGGCCGGAATCTAGCTTGTTATTTTATTAATTTGTCATCTATGGCTGGGGCATAATCTGGTCAATAATAACCGTTCGTAAAATTTATAAGTGTGGCATAGGAGAGAAACTTATCGGTAACTGGGTGATCGATCTGGATTCATTCCAGGCTTAAGTAGAGCTATTACTTTTGCTTTCCTCCACACTTTTAGGTTGTTGTAGCGTACCTTTAATATTATTGAAAAGGTCTAATAACCATATCTTTGTCATGGTTCCAAAGTGCCGAATTTGTTCTGTACACATTTCATCTATACCAGCCGCTTTCCCGTGTCTTAGCTACTTCATGGCAGTTTCTAATTCTATGATTGAGAAGGTGCCTCCTAGTCCCCTATTTTCATTTTCCTTATATCTTATGATCTTTGGTATCGGTTTCTTCACCTTGATTTTACCATTCATTAGTAAGTTGTGAGCTATTTGATTAGGTGTCACTGTTGTAGGGTTAGTGGGTTTTTGTGTGGGATTATTGTTCAATCGTTTGATAATGTCGTAGGCTTTCTTGCTGCTTCGTTTCATATCTAATTCTGCTAGGATATCACACCATTTCTTTCTTTACTCATTTGTAAGTAATTTCAATACTTTTTCTCCCTCTTCAACTATTTATTCTTCAAATTGGCTTACTTCAAAAATGTCCTTATATTTATTCAATGTATCCGTTAATTCTGGTGTTAGCGCTGGTATGTATCGCGTTTGGCAGCCTCTTGGTATATTTTTCCTAGATATAGACTTTAAGACTTCACTAACCCATTTACTGTGTCGTAATTCTCAAGTATCGGTTTTATGCTGTTTATCATATTATCCAATTCTTTCTAGAAACCATTCCAGTTCGCCTTTTTAAAATTGATCTTCTTCTAAATGGAGTTTCAAGTGGTGTAACCACTTACATTACTTTAAGCACTATTGGACGTAAGTAGTAGGGTTTCCAATCTCCTTGGTACATTGTGATTCTACTACGTCACTTGAAAAAATTTTGTCAGGGTTGTACCCTCTTCTCCATCTGCCGCTATTAAATGACTTGGGCCGTGGGGAGCTTCTGATCGTGAACTAGCACTAGTTAATTGAACTCTGCCCATAGTTCAACCTTTTGTCCGTTTTCATCATTTTCTTCATAACCCCAACTAGTGTGGTGACTATTAAAATATCCTATGCCGAAATGTATTTGTTGTGAGTTAAGGTTAGGTGGTTTTTTAAAAGTGAAATGGGCGTTTGGAGGTTTGTGTATAGAGTTTACCTACTGTACATTTGTCCATTTCTATAGTAAGTATTTCAGTGTAGTTTTCTTCGGTAAAGTGAGCTGACGCTACCTGAATAGTAGGTCATACAAATATTGCACTCCTATAATTTTCATGGGGTTTGATGTTTACAAGTTTCATTCCATTTATTTTTGGAGTCTTTATTTCTTCGGTTCTATGAGTTTCTTCGATGTATAGAACATCTCATATAGTCGCCTTACACATTACTATGAGTAGGTCCACTTTGTTTGAATTAATCCTCCTCTCAATATTACATGTAATTATCGCCAAAGATGGTTCTGTTAAGGGCCTTTTTAAAATTCGCCTAGGTGAGATGTCTTAGTATAAGTGTCGGCATGAGTCTGGTTGTGAAAGAATTAGCCAGTAGATTGTTAAATCTACTGTTGCCTCGGGTACACCGCGTAGAGGTTTCTTTCATGTACCCGGTTTTCCAAATTCTGAGTCGGTTTATAGTGGTTTCTTCTTTTCGGTTAAATTCATGATTTTCCCAACTGAATGTTGTTCTTTTTATCTGGTTTAGTTTTGTGTCTTGATCGTTCCAGAGTAGATGCCATCTTTTCCTAATTTGTGTTTTTACTGCCTTTTTGATGTCATATGAGGAGATGTTTAGTTTGGTTGTGTTTTTGTTGGATGCGGCAAGTTTAGCGTATTTGTCGGCTATTTCATTCCCTGCGTTGCCGGTATGTCCGGGGATCCAAATTATTGCTATTTGTTTTTTATTTGTTTTGGCTTCATCGAGTTGGTTTTGGATGAGGACTGAGATGTCATTTGGGTTGTTTTTGTTTTGGATGTTCTTTATGGCGCTTAGGGAGTCACTAAGGATTACACACTTTGTGTGTTTAGTGGTTTGGATGGTTTCAATGGCTTTTAGAATGGCTATAGCTTCAGCTGAAAATATTGAGCACTCATTTGGAAGTTTGAATGTTATATTAGTATTTTCAAGTACGATGGCAATACCGACACCTTCGTTTCCCTTTGAAGCATCGGTATAAATTTTTTGGTGGTCCTTGAAGTCGTCAAGGATGTTGTAGACATGGCTTCTAAATATCTCAGGTGATGTATTTTGTTTAGAAAGGGCATTTAGTTCGGTGTTGATTACATAGGAGTAATCCCATGGGGGGGGGTGTTATTGATTTCTCTGGGGATAATTTTAATTGGGGTTGCTGCATTTTCGTTGGTTAGCTTGGTTATTTCTTCATTTACGTCCCTATTTTTATCTTTGTTGAGTCTGGATAGTCTTGCTATATATTTTATGAATAATTCTGTTCTTTTCAATGTAGGAGGGGATTGGCCAGCTAAGTTATAGATGCTGAGAATAGGGCTGCTTCGAAAGGCTCCTATTGCCAGTCTTAAACCACTATTGCTTACAGTTTCGATCAGTTTTAGAGTTGTATTGGCTGCTGATCTGTATAGAATTGCGCCATAATTGATTTTGGCTTGGATGGTTGCATTGAATATTTTCTGGAGCGACTTGGATTCACCGCCCCATGAGGTGTGGGATAAAATTTTAATTATTTTTAATGAGTTGTTTGTTAATTTTTTTAGATATTTTATGAAGGGGGACCAGGTTTGGCGTCTATCGAATATTACTCCTAGCATTTTCGTTGTGTTTTTATTGGTTATTGTGGTGCCGTTTAAATTGATTACGATATCTTTTGCTCTTTTTTTTGTAAAGATTGTACAAATTGACTTCCCTGGTGAGAAGTTGAATCCTGTTTTGTTTGCCCATGTTTCAATGTTGTTGGTAGTTGTTTGTAATAGGTTTTTAACTGTTTCAATACTATTGCCCCTGCACCAGAAGTTAAAGTCATCTGCATACATATTGCATTTTACAGGTAGTTTGCAATTTTGGACTGTGTCGTTAATTGATATTAAGAAGAGAGTTACTGAGAGAGCCGAACCTTGGGGTACTCCATTTTCTTGCGTAAATTCGTGTGATAGGTAATTGTTGGCTCTTACTTTGAATTTACGGTTTGATGTGAAGTTAAATTAAATATTAAATATAGAAGTCTGCCCTTGTTGAGGACTGAATTTAATTTAACTAAAATATTATGTCTCCAGGTGGTATCATATGCTTTAGCAATGCAAAACATTTGTATTTTTTGCAAGTTGAAATCCCCATTGACTGGACTATTAACGATGTGATAAACTACGTACTCACATAAAAAATTAAAATGTTTTTATGAAACTAATAATGATATTGGAAACCACTAAAAAAGTATGAAGTTTAATAGTTATTCGATTTAGGATATGCAATTCGTGCTACTTACCTTTATTTTAATATACGAGTGGGACACAGTTTGATATAACTGATCTTTATGATTTATCTGTTGATACATTGAGTGGAAAGACATTTTTAAATAAAACTTTTAAACGAAATGATGATGATATCATGATTTTTACAACAATTGAAAATTGTAATTATTTAAAGAATTCACAATTTTGGATTTTAGACGGAACTTTTAAATCATGTCCTAAGTTTTTTAAACAATTTTATGTTGTGCAAGGTTTAATTTCGCGATATGGAAACGAAATGGTTTTTCCATTAGTATTTGCATTAATGACTGCATATCTTTACGTGTCCCTACTCTTGACGAGGAAATTAAGAAATGACACTTGCTACAGTACTATCAATAATAAACTCACCACATAACCATATAAGATCTATCAGCCAGAGAAATTACACAACCCGAAGATTTGTATCCAGACCTATACATTTTTAAAAACATACCTAATCAACTAAAACTAACATCACTTTTCAATCCCTTGTTTCTGACAGGAACTTTAGTTCGAAACAGAAAAACCGTAATCAAAGAAATGCAAAAATGACCGCAAAACCACCTTCTTCAATCAACACAATTTCTTCAACTAAGCCTTCAACACAGTACAAGTACGAAGACAAGAATAACAATATAAATATAAATATAATGCAACATAATATTTGTGTTCTGTAATGACGTATAATGAACAAAACAGAAACAAAATGTTGTTTACGTAACATTTTGTTTCTGTTCCTAGGGTCTTTTTATATTCCATCTGGCATGGATATTGTTCATTCCAACTCCACGTTATGAAATTTTTCCTTGACATATTTTTAAAACATAAAACATAAAACTTTAGTTTTTATTGTACTAAAAACAATATATTCTGTGGCTGATTAAATATTGCTGTAGAGATAATTCGTCCTTGGGAAACTGATTAAACATCATACAAAAAAAACATTATTTTAGCATTATTTGTGTGCACATATAAAATTAAACAATCGTTTGTTGTTCAACCTATAGTAAAGTGGTTATGGGAAACTAATTGTATATTAAATTGCACTGAAATAACGGTCTACATTCTATCAAATTTCAAATTTTATAGCTATTTATTTTTTTTTGCTAAACCTTTGTCTATTTGTCTAATAATAAATTATTATTTATCAAATGTAAAATGCTAAGGTAACATTAGACTGAATAGCATTTGACTCGAATGATCAGTTGAAAAATTAACCTTGTTGATACTTATGTGATTACAATATTGAATATTTTAAATCAAAAATGAAGTGTTTGCTAATCAATCTTATTGTTTTCGTAACTGCTGTCAATAATTCAGATACAAGGAAACCTTTGTTCTTACCACAATTACCGGTTGTAAGTTCCTATCTTATATTAATAATTATATATTTTTTTAAGTGCCAATCGTCTCATTTAATTCATATTCCATTATCAACTATCACTGTCTTGTAAAAGAATGTTCACTATGCTCTCTTACATAATAATTATAATATTCATATACACAGATATATCACAATATACTTGAAGTTTAATACTGATTAAAATTATTTTGAATTGTTCTTAAGGGTACATACCGACTTAATTTCTTAGGAGTTACGCGTTGTGTTTCCGGCCAGAGTAATGAAAAAATCAAATTTCAATATTACTTAAGCAAAAAGTCTGCCAACAAAACAGAAATCAAAGGAAATTGTACCAATAACATTCCAGTGGATGATTCTCTTAATGTAATTATAGTTATTTTTATTATTAAATAGTATATTTTATCTTGATATGACTTAGTTTAGTATTTATTATTATTATTAAATAGTATATAACTTAATATACAATTTTTGATTAAACGAATTATTTAAAATAAATTTATTTTGGGAATTTATATATGGTTCACAAAAATAATTTGAATACATAATTCATCGTCTTCTGATCGGATTTCGGTCGAAATAAATAAATTTGTTTTCTTAACAGTTGAAATTCCATTTGGCGGTAA